GCTACGGCTACTCCTACTCCTACTACTACTACTACTTCTACTTCTACTTCCAATACTAGCACTAATACTATTACTACTAGTGCTACTGCTGCTGCTACTGCTACTCCTAGTATTGGTCCTGCTGCTTCTGCAAGTTGCAAAGCATCGTACCGTTACTTCATGACCACCAATACACAAACGAATATAAAGCACACACACACACACACACGCACACAGCAGGATGCTGCTGAGGGCCATGAAGCAGAATTAGAACCGGGCATGACCCCGCCACAGCAGCACTGCCAAGGATACTTAGCTCCGTACATGGCATTCATCCCCTCTCGCTGGTAGGCTTGGAAGATCTTTAGACCTGGAAATACAGTCCGATAGCCAGTCAGTCCTGTGTCGGACCTGATCCCTAATACCCTAAAGGATTGGGCCCCGGCTGAGTCTGCAGCAGATCAGCTGGGTCAGAACTCCGAGCCTCTAGTTTCGCAACGAAGGTTTCTCTCTCCTTCTCCTCCAGCTGTCCCGATCTGAGATGCAGCTGTCATCGATCAAACTTGCACTGGCCAATACATGCCACTACCACCACAACGTTGGGACTACACATTTTCAGCAGACTCAGCGGGTGAGTCCATATGGCCCGCGCTGGTCACAACACACAGGTCAGGTCCGGACACAATGCAGGTATTGCCGACGACTGTTCGCCAGCTGCACAACTGGCGATACAGATCGGATCAATGCAAAACCCTTGCCTTTCGCTCTTGACTCTTGTCCACAGCACAACTGAAAAAGTGATGCGAGGATCCGAATTCGTTAGAAAAGTATGAACATGTCATGATGCCATGCTTCTCAATAGCTAGCCACTAGTTGCTCGCGAGACTTTGCGCCTCCCTGTTCTCAATCTTTGTGCTTCTTGTGGACGGATCGTACACACGGACCTTAGCATGGCTCCAAGAGACATAGCACATCTTGTAGAAAACGCGACGGACTTCATGTCAGTGTCCAGGGATGAGCTTCGGGCATCTGGCTGAAAAGCCACTAGACCATGGTGCTAGGCTATGTAGAGACTGGTTTGGCGGTCTCTTGGACGAATGCTCCTCGGCTCTAGCTAGCCTTCAAGCAGCTTCACAATTAGACACGATTTACTTTCAGGTACGGTATCCCCTTCGCTGAGCGTTCTTCTCAGCTACCAACGTCTCCATAGCACACGGTGGAGAAGAAATACCTGGGAAAATGGAATGTCGACTGAATGCCGCATTTTCATTAGCTATGGCCATGGCTGGTGATTCCATGTGATTCCACACTACGCTGGTTCGTTCAGCTCTCGAAACACTGCTCACTCCTCTTGCTCCTCCTCCTCCTCCTCAGTGGTCTCAGTGGTCATTCGCTGTAAGATCCCCGCTTTGCGCCAGGAACGTACCGCTGTCCGACGAGGATCAAAATCAACCTGCTGACGTCTGGCGAGATTCAATTTAACTCCGCTGTCTGATGTCGAGCTCAGACTGTAGATTCCAGGGCCGTGACGATGTCAGGTCAGACAGGCAATTGAAGCCTTGAGTCGCACAAATGCCATGCTCTCCAAAACGCCAAGAGTCTCTGTCATCTTGTTCTTGCACTGCTTGCCTCTACCAAGTAGTACTGTTGCGCCAGCTTCGTCTCAAAAGTCTCTCAGCGATGACTGGCCGCGGGCATCTACCACAAAGATTCACACAGCTGAGACAAATGCCCGAGATCACCCTGGCGGCAGAATTCATGTCTGAGAGGTCATGCAGGATGCACTCGAATGCCGGCACGAAAGTTAATCGCAAATCAATCATGCCAGCCACACCCCAGGCAAAGCACACACTGACCAGCCTGTGTGACCTGAAGCATGGAAGTCATCGTCCATAAACCAACTTTCAGCACAAGTCCCCGCGCGTGCACGACTTCATGCCGATTTGCAGTGTGCGGGCTGTGTCGAAAGTCAGACTGGCGCATGAACTGCAAGCTCCCAGCATCTCTGAGAACGAGGATGCCGAGCAAAGGCGTCAAGCAGTCCGATATTGCCTTTTGCCGGCTTGCAAAGAGGTTGCTGACCAACGAGGGCCTGAATGACCCGTCCCCAGCATCCTCGTTGAAGTATGTGGCCACAAACTCGCCGATAACAACCATAGTGACCTGGGATAAACATGTGGGTTGACCGCAGCCGGTGCTACTTCCATGCAAGACAGGTCTTCTGGGAACGCTCGCTCTAAGACTCTAAGATGCTGTCCGCGACCAGGGCAGCCTTGAGGTACGGCATAGTAAGGAGTACCTGGTAGCAAACAATCTCAGTCCAAGCCCGCACAATGCCCGACAGATTTTGAACTCCCAGTCATCCTGAAAGCTTTCAGGCCTGCTGTGGGGGAGGCCCCCCTATGGAGGAGCCCATGCCTCCCACTGGCAGCACCTCGGCTTCCCACGCATGGCATCTGCAATCGCTTCGCAGTTGGCACGAGCTCACAAGTCATGATGAAGACAGTCGAAGAAGTGAAACCAAGATGTGCACCATGGCCGTCAGCTAGCCGTGGCAGAAAAACCAATCATCGGCCGAGGACACACAATCGGAACTATCCTTCTCGAAATGTTGGACGAGCGATGACTCAGTCAGGTCGACTCGTAGTGGCATGTTGCCTTGGTCATCATGCTTCACATGCTTCTTTCATGCAGGAGTCGGTGCGCGGAGGTGTGGACTTGTAGGGTTCCTGATTATGGCTTTGGTGCATGTGCAACCTTTTTGTGGGAGTTGGCCTTTGGTGAATAGCGAGTACATGCTCCCGTGCTCCACATGGTGCCAGCACTAGCTGGCTTGATGCCACTGATGGCTTCGATAGTGAGTGGGGCACTGGCGAGTCAACCACTTCATGGTATCCACATGCAACAGGACAGAGCCACAGTCGTGACTGTTTTTTCGACTTCTGCGTGGCCTACTAGACGGAGCTGATTCAGCTCTGCAATAAAGACCCGGAAGTGAAACTTAAACAGTTTGGAAGCATCTGGAAGCAAACTGCCAGAGCCATAATAAGAGAGGGGGCTGCTGGTGTTTAATTCAGACTTTCTCGGCGGTGCTACAACGAAAACAGAAACGCTCAGTAGCTGCTCTTCGGAGCACGACTTACCAGCGAACCGCCATCAAGGGCGAACTCGGTGCCCGTGACGAAAGAGCCGGCGCGGCTGCAAAGGAAAAGGCAGGCACCTGGCCAGGCGTGCTGCAGGACTCGCGAAACTCAAGCTGTGGCGATTCTGCCCACCTGCAATGTCGGAAGGCAACCCTAACCGGGAAAGGGCTGTGCTGCCAGCGATGCCATCCTCACCGACAGCCTGGTCCAGGTGTCAAGGCTTTGCATGCCAGGCGAGGCATCCATGCATGCCACGGCTGGCATATGCTAGGATTGAAAGGGTGACACCACGGCAGTCGGAACGGCAATAACCACAGAATCAGTGTCGCTGCACAAAAGCATCTTGTAGCAGAGGAATGTTAGTTGCAACGAGTATCGAACCCAGGAGGTACGATCCAAGCCGAGACCTGAAATCTTAGAGTCTTAGAGTGTAGACATCGGTCAGGATGCTTGGATGTTGATGATGGAAGATGGAGCTACGAGGCTCAAACTGGAAACTGCCTGGATGGTCCCTCGCATCATCCGCGACATGAAGGGCCCAGGGCAAATGCAGTTGGACGTGATGTGTCGTGGACCCAAAGCTCCCGCAAGGTGCTTGGAGAGCATGACCACCTCAAACACAAAGAGTGCAGGGAGCTGCTGTAAGAGGAAGATCATTGAAATCGCCGATTCGGAGTTCGCAGTCCCTCAGGGAGCGGCAGCAGCTTTGCTGGAGCTGTACGCAAAAGTGTCGATCAGCGGAGTCTGCAGGCCGTTCACGGAAGAGATGTGGACTATTCCTGAAAAGCCGCAGAGCTCAGCGCAACTCGCAGCTTGTGAGAAACGAATCGTGTTCTATCCGCAACAGAAATTGAACAAACTTTACAGGCAATGTTTCACCGAAGCGGCTGCCAGGATCATCCCTTGATGTTGAGGACTCCATCAAAGGCACAGCCAACCTTGGCAGCTGTTTGTCAGCTTGTCAAACATGACCATGCGTCAGTTAGTCTGCGAAACTCAATGCGTGCGAACTACCGCCGACGGTCAACATCCAAGCTAACATGCTTCAAGGAGACTGTGTCAAAGCAAACACGGCGTTGGTGTTCAACTGCATAACCTTTTCGAACATCTCCGGGCTGTACTTTCCTGAACTCGAGCAGTCTGCGTTCTTGAGGAAGCGTCTCCACTCAAAGCACGGGCATTCGCCAAGCTTCCCAGGGGTGCATTGAAGTTTGTCCCGCTGTTGTTGACCAGGATCTCAGCCGCTTTGTGAGGAGCCAGGAGCTAGTGTCTTCCGGCAGTCATGCCTGGAGCACCGAGGGACTGGCGTGCAGCTTCCCCTCAGCTTTTTGAACGGAATCGATCAAGATCTTTTGTTGATCGTACTTGCCTGAGCTCACCGTGGGAAGAAGCTTCGGTGCAGTTACAGTCTGCCTGCAGTTTGCAATGACGTGAATGGTCACGAGTACTAGCAAAAACATGCTCTAACTGTCCAGTGGAGCCAAGAGACTGATATCGCAGGTGAGAGCTGTGCAGCAACCTGGTCCTGCTCAGCCGGCGGTTCTGAACGACATGATCCTGTCTGGCAAATCGGGACCCATGACACACTGCTGCAGTGTATGTTCAGCATATCGTTTTTAGCGTGCTAGGTTGTCATGCACAGATCTTCGAAACTCGGCAAGGTCCTTTGGAAGTCAGCTCGGCAGCATACTTGGAAGTATCCTGTCATATCAGTTGAAGTGCTGCGCACCTTCTGCTTCCTCTGGTCGCGACAAGGCAACCACGGCCGACCAGCAGCAGTGGCCCTGTCCGTCCTTCCGGGAGGCAATGTACACGCGACAGCCATTCCTTGCGAGCCATTCTGCTGGTAATTTCTAGTTGCTGGCTTCTCGGAAAAAAGCAAGATGGAAAGCGGTGGACAAAAGACCTGTGCAAGTGTTGATCGTAGCATGTTGCGCATGGCTCAAGATTCTGTGACCGAGGGTCAAGGGTGGGGCGCTTCGCATGGTGGTGCATGGAAGCCGAGCGGCTGCACAAATCCAGAGGCAATCATGGCACCGATGCCAGATCCGCCACCTCGCATTAGGACAATTTGGCAAACTCGCAAGCATGACGCCGAACCGAGCAAGATAGATGTATTGTCAAAGGTATGGTATGAGAGCACTAATTGGACACAGGGTCCCCGAATCATTTTCCAACGTCATATCCCCCCGTCCTGTAACCAGAACCACCTTGTTGTCCACTCGGAAGAGCGACTGAAGCGTCAGGTCCGCATCGGTCGCCGCCGCATTCTCTCCCTCGACTTCCTGGAACCGTCGAGTGATTAGGCTTGCTGTGACTGGCGCGTTGGAGGATTTCAAGCTCAAATTCATAGCGGCAGCCGTATGTCTGTTTAAATTAAAAAGGCTGCTAGCATACGTTCAGAAACGACATCAAATTGTGTTGAGATCATGCTGCACACATGCTCCGCACATTTCAATGAAGGTGGACCAGATCAGTGCTGGGAGGCTTTCACTTCAAACACGTTTCAGAGTTCATGCGGATTTCGGTTGACAGTTGGCTGTTTCATCGACTTTCCGTGACATTCGGCAGGTTCGGCGGGATCTTCTAGTTACCTCAAGGTACGCCTTCAGCCGTCTGGACCCTTTCAGAAATGGAGATGGGTTTGCCGGCTGTTTTGCCTGCATTTCACCTTCCCCTTGCCCCCCCCCCAGGTTCCTTTACAACCTCTTCGCCCCTCACTCAGTGGTGCATTTGCCATGTTCGCTGTCGGGTCAACAACTCCCTGGTACTGTGGAGCCCATGTCCCCCAAGCCTGTCCTTGGGCATTCCCTGTTCCGCAAGATGGGAGGCCAGGAGGGTCTGAGTTTTTCGAGCTCGAGCCAAAGGCTGAAGCGATGGAAATGCAGAAGCTTCAGCAGTCATGAGCCCCAAATGCCGAGAACTCTGGATCATCTTTTGTGCATCTCGTCTGTGTTGCCTTTATTTGCAAACTGCTACAGCCACCTTCAAACAGGATGCTTCACGTAGCTACTCCTGCTCCACAATACCCCTGGAGCCCCTGTCACTGCAAACGCTACCACAAAGAGTGACTGGATGTGACTGGAACCTCATGCGTCATGCTTGCGTGCTTGCGCCGTGCTCGGCATCACTCCAAGCCTGTGAGATGTCTTGATGTTGTGCTACACATCCATCGGCACTTTGCAGCAACACGTGTGCAGTGACTGACCCGGCTGTCTGTACACTGGTAACTCGTTCACCACTTGGCTGCTTCTCATCCGCCTCACCACTGTTTGCTCTCCGTTTTTCATCTGACAATCAAACGCCACGGTAAAGTGAGTCTTATTTCATTCAGTAAGACTGGAAACAGAATACGTCCTACTTGATGGTGTGGAGCAGCCCTCAGCCCCTGTCCTGCCCGCCTAGTGCAAGGCCTGGCCAGCCACCAGGTCGCTCAGCACGAAAGGCTCTACCTGGGACAGTGGATGACGGCGGCATAGTTCTGGCAAGCAAAGGCAAAAGGTAACTTCAATCGCGCTCCACAAGAGTTCAGCAAGCAGGTCCTCGTGGCGTGCGGAACTGAGGGCCATGCAAACTCGCCTTGCGTCCTGCGCGACTTCCAGAGCTACAGCAGACTCTCTTTTGGCTGTCCACGCCCATATCCTCAAGCAAGCGCTCTAGTGCACTGACAAGACTCGGCACGGTTAAAGATGCATCTGGACGTTGCCAACTGAAAACAAAGCTCCTCGCCGGCACAGCTTCATGCCGAAAGGCATCCTCACACGAACTTTGAATGTTCCCGCCAGGCCGCGACGAAAAACCGACACCACTTCTTTGATCCATTGAGGGGTGCGACCGTCTTCAAGCTGAAAAACACATAGATGTATACACACATACATATACCGTCATATACCGTATACCTACCTACCTACCTACCTGCCTGCCTGCCTGCCTGCCTGCCTGCCTGCCTACATACATACACACACACACATACGTAATGTGGCCAGGCATCTGGCGTTCACCTCCCGCCCCGCACCCCGTGGCATGGTCTGTACCGGGTGTCGTTTTGCACCCAGCCCTTGCGGTGATGTCCCAAAAGTCGCAACACCCCGGAATCCCCGTGACAGTTGTCGTTTTCTCGACCGTGGCCTTGCAAGAACGTACCAAAGGGTTTACAGACAGTCACAACAGTCACAGCGATGGGGCAGGGCTCGGAGAGGCAGTCCTCGTGACAGTTGCTGTTTCTGGAATGGGATGCTTGAAAAGTGGCAGCAGTCATTGCAGCGAAATCCGCGAGACAGTTGATGTTTTGGGACCTGGACAGTGCGTGTGCACGAAAACGCCAAAGACTGAAACCATGGAGATGATGATGATGATCATCATCATGATGGCGACGTCCTTCTGACTGGCGTCGTTTGATGGATATTGATATTGGCTCGTGACCCTTACATCCATTCACGTTTACATAGAGGGAGACAGCGTCAAGTGGTAGATTCGGATAATATTCGGAAATCAGGGAAGCACACCCACCCACACCCCGTGCCACAAAGCGAAAGGGACTTCCCTCAACCCAAATCCAAACGCAATTTACCCATCCCATCCGCAGGAAGGAGGGGGAATCGGGGAGACCCTGAGCACATGGCCACCGTTATATAGAGACCCTGGCCTGCGGAACTCGGATGGGTAAAGATGCTGCATCTGCGCGACCTGAGCCAGAGTAGAAGCTGACAGGATCTACTTCGCGTCCACGAACTTCCAGAAGATAGGGCGAGAGCTCTAGCTCTTTCTGTGACTGCTGCCAATAGACAAGCCATTTGCTCCTTGTAACCTTCTGGGAGAAGATGATCTATTGAATCTACTGTTGAAGGGGGTCCCCAAACTTGAAGTGGGAAGAGTTGAACCCACTTTTGTTAAGCACACCATCTCATCGTACATGGCAGGCTCTGCGATCTTCTCCCGGCTTAACTCAATTGGGACGCGGGGTGTCTCGCAGCACCGTGAGTTTGGTGCCCCCCCTAGATCTCGGTGTGAGGGTTCGGGCCTCCCACAGATTTTCTGATATTTCCTGCCCACGTCCACAGCATGTAACTCGCATCGCAGTCTTCAGTGTCCTGAGGAAGTAACGCGCATCCCGGACGAATCTAACGTATTCGTCGTCCAGACTCCTGGCGTTGTTTGTGCTCACCAATCGGGCTTCAGACGGCATCTGGCTGGGGAGTCGTGTTTTGGATTTAACGGCTTGGAACGTTACATTCAAGTTCAGGCTTGATGTTACTATTGTACCGCTTGGGTGTGAGGACTCTTGAACAAGGATCTGAAGAGACACTATGAGCCCTCGCTGATGTTCGGCTCATCTAGGCAACAATATGGCAACAATGTTCGGGACTACTTGAGCTGCGATGTAAACGGATAAGTCGCACATAGCCCCAAGCTGTGCTGCCCTGTTTTGGTGCTTGATGCCAGCTAGATCCAGCTGGGGGCCGTCCCGAAATAGACATCAATACCTCAGCGAGTTCTGCTCTCCTGGTCTTGGCAGCCCTCCGCTGCCGCGCTGCTCGCCGCAGCGCTGCCCCAATCTCGGCCTCCGGACATTTTGGAAAAGCACTCTGACGAGCACGAGAACAACCTGGTTTTCGAGTCGTCCAACCAAGCAAGTCAAGCACCTGCTGTGCCAAGGGCAGAACCCACAGCGCACGGTTGCAGTTGGACATGGACAGACAGGCCACGCCGAAGGCAATTGAGACCAAACAGTTGACGTTCTAATGATGCCCTGCAATTCATAGCTTCGATAAGGCGCTCCAGTGTGAGCGGTCCGTGTAAGCTATTCCAAACCCCATGAATCAGATTACCTTAGCGTTCCCGGCACAGGAATGCACACAGCACAACACACGCTGCCAAGCTCAATCTGGGGTGGGCACGCCAGTTTCCTCGATCTTTGTGGAGTCCAACTCCCTGTTTACCCAGCAAGTTGGCCAAGGACGCAGCCAGAACGTGGCTTGTGCGGGCAGTATGCTACTCGCTTTGAAAGCGTCCTAGATCCAAGCCACCTGAGGGCCGCGCACGCTTGGGGCACTTGGCAGCCGAGTCAGCCTACTACCTGGCACGGACGAGCTCATCGCACCTTGTGATTTACGGCACTCGCCCACTCGCTTCGGAACGTCCGTGCCTCGACCAGCATTGCTGCGCTTGAGTGTCGAGGTGCTGCTGCTTATCGACCCGCCTCCATCCTCCTCAAGGTATGTGACTTCCAGGTTTCGGCGCACTAGGCTGCTTGAGGGCTTTAGGGTTTGTCTCATATTGGCAACCCCGCAAACACTCCACATCCCTCCATGCTCCTGCTCGGTGTAACTCGTGCTAACAACTCTGTAAGAGTCCGAATCCATCGCGATGGTGCTGTCAATCGGCAATTCCTTTGGCTGCCTTGGCTTCCAAAGGTCTCAAAGGCCGCGTTGTTCTTTCTCAGTTAATCTACAAAACCCAAAGCCTACTTCAGGTTTACTGGCAGATCGTCGTCATGTCGCCGATAGAAGGTGAGCGAGTCCTCCTTACATGCAAATAAAGCGACATATTTAGCAGCTGCCGTTGATGCTCTTCTTGCTGTCGCTTTAGCTGCTCCTCCTTCTCCTGTACCAAAAGTCTCTGGTCAGGTTTAAGTCATTTCGCTGCATGCGCAGCAGGAGAGGGTATCGGCTCCAGGCCTTTTGCTGCTCTTGAAGTTGCCATACATCTTTTTCTGCACTTTGTCCTCAAACACCGGCAGTCCGGACTGGAAGACAGCCCTCACATGCTACGCATGCTGGGGCCCAGAAACACACAAGCTGTCGTCATAAGTGATCTCGACTTGCTTCCCGGAAATTAAGCCAAGACTCTCTGGCGGCTCCACAACTGCCTCTGCAAAAAGACATCTTAACAGGGGGAGTACCTTGCACCAAAGAAGCACTACTGACTACGGTACTTGCATGTCGCCTTGTTTCAGTCCTTGGTTCCTTACGATCCTGGGATGCCTCAAAATCACGCAAACTATCCGAACCCAGCAGTCTTTCTGAAACCTGGAACTTTCAGCAAAGCCCCGCGCTCTCATTACACCTGCATGTTTGGCTTCGATGATATCTACATGCACACACTGCACACAGGTATAAGGACTTATGTGCCATCCAGGTGGCTGCCGCCAACGCTCCTCCTGCTCTCGGTGCTGCCACCTGAACAGGAGAACATGCGGCAAGTAAACAAAACAGCCAGCAAAAAAATCGAGCACATCAGGCTTCGAAACTTCTCAGGACGGCGCAGCGAGTCTCGCTCTATCACTGCACCCTGAGACGTGCAGTTGCAAGTGCAAGATCGCGAGACAAATGCTGCAATCCTCACTGACTCGTTGCCCTTCGATGATTACCACGCTGCAAAGGATGCTGTGGCACGATTTGCATGTCTCAATTGCCAAACCGATTGCAAGAGTGATCCATTCAAGAGGTTTCTGTGAGACATTCTCTTCGGGGCAGATCCGCGGCATTTAATGTCAGTGTCGCTTGTCATTATTGTGTCACCAACGAAACCATGGCGACAACGTGGACAAAGTAACTTCGATTGTTCTGCCATCTCCCCGAGACTTCTCGGACCCCATGTCGTGAAGCCGTGCCGTGCATCCGAAATCCCCAGGCCAGTCCTTTTGAGGAAGGCTCGTCGGGGGAGCCGGTAGAGTGACCTTGCAGCGGTTACACCTAGATCCGATTTCTCCTTTCTTTCATTTGCTGTTTAGAGTTTATCGCGCGTTTCAACTTCGACATTGCTATCGTGGACATTCTTGCCCCTCATCGCAGCTGGTACCCTTAGAGTCTCATAGCCCAGGCAAACTTCAGATGCGGCAGGAACTCTCTCCGTGATATCTGATAGCAATGGCTATGCTTGACCTAGAACCACAATCAACAACAACCAGAACCCTACTACATGTTTTCATTGCTCTGCTGTTTGTTGCATGGCAATTCCCTGTGCAGTTGCCTTCCAGTCAATGCCGGCAAAGGATGTCAGTAGCCACAGCAGAGCAAAGACACATACACGCAAGTCATAGCGAAACCTCCATGTCCCCATGCATCCCTTGCCTCGCTCCTTTCCCTGTTTCCCTGAATTTGGACTTCCATGGGTCACGGGTCCCCCGACGGGCACCGGTGCAGAGACAGGCGGCCGGCCAGCCTGGTGCTGGTGAAGGGCTCCATTCTGCTGGTTTACCCTTCGGGAATTCAATTTGAGTCTGTTTCCCTTCCTGTTGCTCTTGATGGCGCTGCTCGAACCCATGGCTCAATCTTGAGCTCAAGGCCGCTCGACAGAGTCAAGGCCATGCCACGGAGTAACACATTGCAAAGCGAGACGGCCTGGAGCGTGCTCTGCAGGTCCTCGAGCAACTCCCGATTACGCCTGTCAGTGGGACGGTCGTAATGGAGTGCGCCGTCTTCCTCCAAGGCCTGTCCTAGCATTAAGACTACCTTGTAAATGGCTGTGCTGGCAACTTCATTAATCGCTTGTCGGGTCAGTTTGCCGCAGGTCGACCGCTGCAGGTTGCTTTGCCATGACGCCTTCGATCCCAAGCCCCACCTCTCGGCTGCAGCCAGCCGGGCGCGGACCGAAGAGAGCCTTCAGTTGCAGTCCGAGGCATGAGAAAAGCCCACTGCCTTGCACATGCGTGTCTGTTACTTGCATGGGCAGGTGGGGTCAGTCGAACGCTCCAGAGCCTCTACACGACCTTCTCTAGCCAATTGCTGGCTGACAGAAAGCTACGCTGCTCGAGACTTGTAGCTCTTCACACTGAGCTTTCATCGAGCACCCGCCAACTTTGGGCAGTGCTCACCAACGTACGTGTCAGCTCGGAATTCGCAAGGACGCTGCAGCAGCGAAAACAGTCAACAGCACAAACTGACTGCAGGATTCATTTGTTAGCCTTTGGCTAACTGAAGGCCGTGTGGAGAAAATTTCAACTTTCGCTGTTCCTGTCAGCTTGTATGTCGACGCTTCTCTGCAGGAAAATGGCCTGTGCTACTTCTCTTGGCACTTGCCTGCGAGCTTTGCGCAGCCAGTCCAACTTGACTGAGGACAGCTGTCACTGTGCCACCAATCAACACTTCCTCGGCACAACCCGCGATGTTTTCCAGTCCACTCTGCGCAGCCAAAACGTACATGTTTAGATCTGGAACAAGGCCCGAGTCGCGTAGTATGCCAGCGGAACTCGGCCCGCATGGCTTGTGGAAAAGCTTGCCAAGCAGTGTAGCAGGATGCTTTCCTAGGAGGACACCAGCGATATCCAATGCATAGCCACATGTTTTTCACAAGCAGCTCTAAGTCTCCATCCAAGCTGAAGGTTACGCCAACCGCGGCCAACGCCTGCTTCCCTTGTCCCAAGTAAACCTCGGAAATCGAAAGGCCATGCCTGACGGAGACAAACTGGAAACCAAGGTCCGTGCCAATGTGCAGCAAGCCAGAGAGAACATGAACCTGGCTCTTTTCCGACTAACACCGTTTGAGACATGTCCGCGACCCCAATCCTCCTGCTCCTCCCCCTCCTCCAATTCTGACATGTGAATCCAAAGCCCGCCGCACACGATTGTGAGCCGAACCAGCCATGGCATTGCATCCTGAAGGTGCCTGCCACGCGAAGGTGGCGTCGTGATGTGCAAGCAAAGTTGCTTGGCTCGCGCTCTGGCCTGTTGGATGCCGCCGCCTGGATGCAGGCACTGAATCCGATGAGCAGAACGCCGTGGACAGCTGCAGCCACGGCCACCTGCAGCTCAAAGCAGACAAGGTCTGTGTTCCAAAAGAGAGCCCTGCGCTGATTCTGCATGGGTTTGACGAGGACTCTGTCGGACTCGGTGTCAAGCGCGGCCCCAGCGAAGGTTGCCAGGCACGGTGGTTGTGATGCGATCTTAGTGTGGCCGAATACACCAATCGCACTTGCTGATTTTCCAGAGCTACTGACTGACGTATGTGCTTGTAGGACTAGGGTGGGACTTCAAGATTCGGTCTGCAAAGACATTCCTCGACCCTCCTCCCCTTCCCAGGGACGGCCGGGCCCGGCTGGGTGCCCAGCCGCTGCGAAGAGAATCGGCTTTGGATCGAAGTGCCCGGGCTTGTGCCTTCAGTGCCTGGTGATTGGCAGAAGGGTAGGATCCAGGATGGAGAAGGGGCAAGGGGGTCTCATGAGGTCTCGATAAGAGGCAGTGGTGGTTCCAGAATTCATGATGTTGTGCAGAGGGGTGTATGTGTGCCCGCCGGGGGTTTGAAGGCTTGGAGGGATTGCTGATTTTAGCCTGGAGCTTTCGACAAAAGGTTTTTCACAGAACCGTCAAGCAGTTTTGCATATCAGATCACCTTGTCCAAATATGTGCCCGGCTAAATGATGATCCAGCTCGATTGTGTACAGGACTTTGGTTGTCAGGCAGGTAGGGTCGGTTCGGCGGGGGTCGTGTAACTCGAAGGTCACTCTGAGTAGACTTCCCTGCGGAACAGGATGGCCTTATTTCAAAGCTTGCACGAGGCACCTCAACATCCACGCGAGCATTGTCGGGGCCATTGCCTTGGAAATTAGAGGCTTTGTTTGAAGCCGGCAGGTCCAGGGAGTCTGGGGCCCTTGATGTACTGCACATTTGTAGGCATGCAGACATACCCACATACCCAATTCCATGGATCAAGTGCAAATGATCCAAGGGGCGAGAAATAATCTGTGGCTTCTCACTGCTGCAGTCCTGGACAAAGGGAAGTATCGAGCCTGGAGTTAAGAGACTAGAAGACTGTAGTGAGCTGCGGTCCTGAATGATTACCATGGCGATGGCTGCAAACAGCAAGGCCGATCTCTGTTGCTTGGAGCTGACAGCTTGCAAAGGATGCTGCACATGCTGCAGTAGCCTAAGCATCGACGTCGAATGATCTCTGCTCATCAGTCTACCTAGCCAATGGCTGCAGTGGATAAGCTGATCGGTGTCCTCATGCTCCAGTGCTGGAGGCTTGGCCCTGGCTTGCAATGAGTGAACTCCCGTGTACTTCGACTATCTTTCGGTTTTTACAATTCTCTTGTTGTGTGCATTGCTAGTACGGCAGCACTCATGACAAGAAGTATGATGATGATGGTGGTGGTTCACTCGTGTTTGCAATTTCCGCCGTAGCTTCAGTTTTCTAGAGCTGCTTGGTAAATCCTATTCAGTAAGCTTTTCATAGTCCCATTGCGGCATTCAGACTTCATAGGCCCTGGCTCTTCCGTGAAGGCAGCCTCTGCTTTCCCCAGCTCCACTCGCAACTCTTTCGCCAGCCTCGGGCAAAAGCTCAGGGCATGTTGACGCGTTTCTAGGTTCCTGGCAAGAAATGCTCGGTGGTCCGAGATTCTGAGCCGACCAAGGACTGCCCCTGGCACACGCACCCACTGGGGCCATTTCGGGTTCTTTCTGGATCGGCGAGTTTGGCTCCTCTCAGCTCTGGCTGAGTGTGGCCATCCAATCAACGCGCTTTGCCCCACGGGCTTTTCTGGGAATCCAGCCATTCAAAGAGGCTGACAAGTGTGCACCAAAGAGCTCAAGTTCTTGAGGACCTCGCTGTGAGCGGCGTCACCACTGGTGCTTGCAAATCTAAGAAGCTGTACATCCGCGTCTCAAACTTGACACGGATCTGCCATCTGTGTCTGAGGCCCTTGTAACTCCGAGACACCAGAGGCATTCAGACTGAATCACATGTTCGGCTGTACAGTTTACAATCCAGTGATATGATACCTGTACGAAGAAAAATCATAAACTTTAAACAAACATCTGCTACTCGTATCAGATTGTATCATTCGGTAGCACGCTGCTTGGAGTTGCCCATGTCGCTAGAACTTGTGCCGCTAAAACCCAACAATCCTCCTGTTGAAACCTGCTCACAGCAGATGTAGCACTGCTACGCTGCACCGGCGAGTCACACCTGACAAAACACATCGAGCCCATGTTGAGTCTGTTGGGTCCATGTGCATGGTGACGGTGCCCGGGAAGTGTGCTTGCCGAGCGACATCATGCAGCAATGCGGCAGGCCGCAGAAAAGATGGCAAAATGGATGAAGATAATAACCCGAACTGTGCTGTCTTGAAGTCATGAATTTCAGCGGGTCCCCTGTTGCTGCCTTGTCCGTTTAACGTTGGCTGTCGCAGGTGAGAACAGGCCTCAGATAGTTTCGCACGCAGGACTCAGGACTGGGCTTTGCGATATGGATGCAACATCAAGCCTGCACCTGCTCCAAATCTCTTGCTGTATGTTTGGCCCAGGGAGCCCTATATGACATATGATCCTGTAACTTGACTTGGGCCGCAGCACGGGCAGGCGGCTTGGCCGCCGCATACCTGCTCCTCTGCTCGCGGTGCTGGGCCTGTGGAGACCAAACTTAAAGCCTCCTGAGCCGTCACAAAAGTACGAAGCTCGGCACATGAAGAAGTATTTGCATAAATAAAGATCTCCCGGGTGGAGCGGTTTGTTCTCCCCTTTCCGCATGACGAACAAACAGTGAGATCCCTGTGTGGTCTATGAAAAGGAACGAAGATAAACTTCGTGAGATCTATGTGTGGCCCTAGATTCCTAGACAAGATCGCAATCCGTGACCACGAACCTATTTTCCCATAGTTTGCTAGTGACACGGGAGCGGTTTGCAGCACACCTGGTGATATCCAACAGGGTGGAGCCTCTGGATTCCCCAAGTGGGATCTTCATTCTATGTGCCGTATTGAGCCCTGACAAAAGGGTGACAGTTCCGGCAGGTGTTACCAACCTCACAGTTGTGGCACTTTGTCACCGCGATGACGTGCCCACAGATCGCGGCCAAGCTCTTGCGGCGGCTTCTCACTGCTCGTGGACAGCCGTCTTTCGTGGCTGCGCTGTCTCAGCGTTGTGCCACAGCTCGCAGGCAACTTCTTCGTGGCAGCGCGGTTGTATTTGCGTGTTTTCTTTCGCGCTCGGCTGTTGCTGTTTGCTTTTGTTCTGTGGCTTCGTCGGTGCTGTGTGGGCCAATGTGGCTCTCTTTCTTCCTTTAGGCCGGAGAGGACTTCAGTGACATCCTTTGTGAAACCGGTCTCGTGCCCTGCTCAATCTCTCACCTTGCGCTACCTTACCGATGCCTGTGAGCCCAGGTTGTTACCGGAATTCAGCAAATTTCAACGTTTGGACAACTCGTGGGTGTTCGGGGATCCTCCACCGAACGCCCTCCCTCACGGGCCCTAGACTCCTAGACTCACTGAAAGTCGTTTGGACTACTCTGCTCCGTATGCCCCGTGCACACGCATGAGCAACCCTGGAAGAACTTCCTTCGGACCCTAAACCCAGAAGTGTCGGTATATGGCGCAGGGTAATTCCGCAGAGGGAGTCCGAAGCCCGCAAATACGAAACCTGCTCCGCAAGGCCTTCGGCGTGCAGCCGACGGGAGTCGTGGACCTCGAGGCGATACTGCGGGCGAAGCAGACCTGGGTTCGGCAATATGTATACACACATATGATACGTATGTATATATATATATATACATATATATATATAATAACAATATGTATGTATGTATGTATGATATGCCTGTATTTATTATATACACAAACATACATAATGTCTCAGGCACCACTAGTACTCTTACGACTCGTGTGGCGATGAGGTTGCTGGATGCTTCGCGGGTAGGCTTTGTACTAGAACTTGGCTAAGCGGGGGGCCAAAAAAATGCAGGTGAGACGACTGGTGAAAGCATGGCTGAGCCTTTACGGGGCATAGCCGGACCCCAAGACCATACTCCATCTCCGGAAGTCCGGCCCACCCAAGAGGCAACGCACCACCGCCATACAAACCACTCCTGCTTGTAGTACATTAAGTGGAGGTTGCCGTAGTCGCACATTGGGCACTTCAGCTTCACTGCTGGTGGCTCCAGTTCCTGTTGATTCGACATGGCGTCCACCTCCATCTTCCACAGCTCGCGATTCAGTCGACCCCGCTCCGACTCCGGCTCCACCTCCGAGCAGATGAGCCGGGGTCCCGATCTCCATCGGCACCGATGTCATTCTCCTCTTGCTCTTCAACGGCAACGGTGGCGCAGTGGAACTCGTCGCCGCTGTCGATGCCCGGCCAGCGTCGTCCACCTTCTCGATCTTCGCCGCCTTCTTCTCGGGGTGACATAGTCCGGCTTGCGGTAGATCAGCAAGGAGTTCCACTCGCTCATTCGTGAAATCTCCAGCTTGGGAATCTGCTCGATTGCCGCTCGTGTAAGACAACGAGCCCAACTCCATTCCAAATTGGCCCCATGCTTTCGGTCTTGATGCTGGCCGCTTCTGCCCACGTGCTCCACCCGAGGTCGCAGCTCCGTTCCATCGTCGGTCGGCACCAGTCGGCAGGCGGGCCGAAATGGGTGGGAACCGGCCGCTGCCAGAAGGGCAACTTCTTGTTGAAGTCGAAGCGCACTCTGCTCCAAGCCAGTCGCCGAAGTCCACAGAGTCACCCGTTCCATTCACAACGGTCACACTGAGATTGGCGGAGGAGTTCGGGAACGGTCCCTGATCCCACACTTCACTCTTGAGAAAGGAAATGTTTCGGGCACATACCGCTGTTTTCCAAACTCAAAGAGATTCATTTCGACATGACCTTTCAAGCGACGCTTCATGTACTGGAACGTGTTCACTTCCGGACACACAGCAATCAAGTTGGACATGTCAATCACTGCACCGAGCTTGGTAAGCAAGTAGGCGGGTGAGAGACATGGCACCGACCCGGGCACCACATGCACCCTGAGGACACCAACTTGGACCCGAGCCCGATGGGGATGTAGGCTATCTTGGTCACCTACTCAGAACCGCACCCACACACACACACACTCCACGCACCGCAGCACCATCTTCACAACCCAGCAAGTCCAGTCCTTACCGTTTCAGCTCGCTGAAGCTGGTCCGCTTTGTCGCCAGGAACCCATTGATCGTCTGTCCCGCCTTGCGGCGTCCTCGGAAGATGGCCTCATCGAAGGACTGTTCCAGCTTCGCAATCTTCAAGCAGTAATGCTGCTCCTGGATCAGGCGCGCCACCTCTTGCCAGCCGATAGGCGACGTCATCTCCTCGACCGTCACGTGGGCCAAGCTGGTGGCCAAGCGGCGACCATAGGGGATCGAGCCTATGATCCTTGTTTCCGATCAGGCTCGGAGGCACAGCCGAGCGTTCCTAGTATCCTCCCTGTGCTGTTGCTCCGGCCTTTCGCCATCCCACTTCGGAGCTGCGGCCATTCGGTAATCATTGAATTTTCGGGCTGCAGTTCCTGCAACGGAACCATCCATGCCATCACCATAAGCCGGCGTCGACGCCCCAGTCGGCGACCAAGCCGAGTCGGCGAACTCGCTCTCCTGGCTCCATCCATGCTTCCCACTCCTCATGGTCGCGTCTGGGATGTCTGGGCTCACTCCAAAAATTCTCTCGCACAACTCGGCAAGAGAACTTTTCTGCCTTTGAGGCAGATACAGACGACAAAACTTGCACGTCCTAAGAAGGTCGCCTCCTCGTTTCAAAACCTCGCCACGTCGAGGCACACAGGGAGCCCTACTGCTTCCGACACAGGGTCCCAAAGAACCAGAGACAAAGATGTAGAAGAGCCCGCCGCTCACAAACTTCAGAAAGAAATTCTTCCCCGGCCTTGTTTTAGTCCTCCAGTCCGCGGGGGCGTCCCCCCAATGAGAAACACCCTTCTGGATCAGACAGCACAGCAGTCAAGCATGACAGATTTGAGCGGCTCGTTAAGGGTTTCACAGCATAGAAAGGCGCCTAACCAAACCCAATGGCAAGTCGGCAGGCGAATTTAGAGAGAGTCCCACCATCTGTTTCTTTGCGAGGAAACCACGGTGGACGAGCCGAGCATAGCTAGGGGGGACCCTCCCTCCTTGGAGAGGATTGATCAGAGAGCATCTGTGAGACTGTGGGAGCATGCTTTGGTCTTTAATGTTCTTCGCTGATCTGCGGCCGAAGCATGTGTAGGCCTAAACCGTCAACATAACCTTCGAACCGTAAACTCAGAAAAGCCTGCACCTTGAGGACCTTGAGTCAAATAGCCAACATTCCAAAACCTTCTCTCTAAATTTCTGAGCAATGCGGGTGGTTTCTGACTGTTGCGAGGTTGGCCAGAGCAGCCGCGCTGGCTTTGTAGGCTGATCATGGTTCCATCTCGGATCTCCCCATGGGCAGCAACAACTGCATTTATAAGTGCTTGTAAGAGGCGCTGACACGGCAGGCAGTGGCGTCCCGCAGGACGAGGTCGGCGTTCCAGAGCGTGTCTGGCAAATCTCACCTTTCGCCATAAGGATGCTCGACAAAAGTTGGGCTTAGCTTCTCAAGGTCCTTGCACCTGGCAGAGGTGTGCTTGGCCGCGAAGCTGTAGTGGACTTTGAGTCGCTTCGTGGCCGCGAGTGCAGAATGCCTTAAAGGTGGCTCCGCAGCAGACGCCAACCAATCTTTTTCTGCCTCAAGAATGCAGACTGGTGGCATGGTAGCGCACTGCCAGGGGCAGCTGCAACAAGTTTCTCGTGCCCTGCCAGGGCACTCGGTGATCATGAACACAACATGTGGACGGCAAGCAAACACTTGTCACTTCTCATGGTGTGCGACGCAAAAACCAATGGTCGCTACGCTGCGCTGCTGCACATCCCTGCCATGGCCTTCCAACGGGTCGCTGATTCCATGGCTCCTAAGTCTGCGTCTCTGCAATTCTGTAATGCATATCATATCGGCATGATGAGATGGCGCTGCAAACTATAACATGAGTACCTTTGCATACACATGACACCGATGTCAAAAAACAAGACATCTAAAACATCCGCCACATCCACAATTGCTCTGGATGCCAAATGCACAATCGGACCCTCTAACATCTTGTTGAAAGAAGACGTACGAAGCTGCAGGCACAGCTCAGGAACCTTCATGCTTAGAATAGGGCCTTGGGGTATATAATACTTTGACGATACAGGGAAAATTGCGGAATTGTCTTGCGCGTGATGCAAAGAGAGAACGTGCCGGTTTACATGCCATGTGTCTGGAATTCGGCGCGAACTCCAAGGAGATCATGGCTCCTGGTGGATCCAAATTGGCTGTGGCTAGGCTTGTGCCTTTGTGCTGCTGGGGCTATCCAGGTTGTAAGCAGAAGACACAATGAGAGGCGACTCTCGAGGGTGGAAACAGTTTAAAAGGGAATTGATGCTGATGAACGGTCATGATGCCATGGTAGTTCTGACAGCACATCGCACTGAAGCACGAACAAAATCCTTGAGCGGCTTCATCGGTTGAATTTTATATTCGTGTTGTTGGGTGCTTAGTCCACAGTATTCGGAGAAGCCCGCTGCAGGCTTCCGGGTAGAAGGGCTTGCCCAAGTTCTCCCAGGCTGGCTCTTTAAAGCCTCTGACATTCATTTGTAAACAAGATCCTCTTTTTCCATCAAGGCATCGACGGCCCGGTTCTTCTCTAGTTCAAATGCTGCCTTTGTGCATGGTCCTGGGCCAGCAGTCGAGTGCTTGCTCGAGAAGATCACGAGCCGCTTTTCTGGACCCCTGCATGCACAGCTTTCAGCATTCGTGTTGCTGAGCTTGAACCGGACAGCAATGATCTCAAGGCCGGCTAAGGGCCTGCGAGTTCGATCCAAAAATCTCACGCCGAACTACGGCCCTTGCAGTGGCATGACCGGCTACCTGCTTAAGCCCTGGGCACCTCGTTCCAGAAGCGTCTTGCAGTGAGCGCAGCTCCCATAGGGCCCAAAGATTTCACCCCGTGAGCTGGAGAAGGCACCTGGAACAGCAGTACATGCTGTTCAGGGCCGCGACAACGCAGCAAATCTCCATGATGCAGTCGCCTACCTCCGGAGGCTTTGCCGCTTGGCATCCTTTCTCTGCGAGCCACTGTTCGTCGTAATCCTGCAGATCGTAATTAGGAGTCCGGCTCCGCAGCTTGTGTAAATCAACAAAGATGCACCTGTGACAAGGTGTCTGGTTTATATATATATATATATATACATATATGTATATGATTGCGGTCCTGCCGAGAGCTTGAGGGCCGCAGCACGGCCCATGCCTCGTGCAAAGCCTGTCAGGTCCGGGAACAGTTGGGAGTTCCCTTTTGTCTGATCTGAAAAGCCTTAAGGCCGGTCGCTGGGCCACGACTAGCTGTCACACTTTGTGCTCGTCTGAATGACCCGAGCCTGCAAAAGCTTGTGCTGGGGCATCTCCAACTCGCCTTCAGAAGAAAGCTGTCTCGACCATCAAAACATTTTTCTCATTTGGTTACGTCCTCTCAGGGTTTAGCATACTTGGTTCCATCCTCCCCTCCCCCCCATTCTCAAAAAACAACTTTCTTGATCTGCAGCTGATGTTGCTTGTCAGCTATCTTTGTGCTGGAAAACCCAGTGTTGCTCAGCCCTCGACCCGCATGGACTTCCCGCAGCTTGCGGTGATAGGCAGCCTCGGGAATTTGCACTCTTCAACGAGGGAACGTCAAAGTGGCACTGGCAAAGCCTCCAGGCTGCTCAGTGGCATCCCCGGAGCGCAACCAAGAACTGCCTTAGCTTCAATCGTGGAGATGTCTAGCTAGATACAAGGTGTTCTGCCCAAGAAGCACATCTTCCCGTCTGCGTGCTCGTGGAGATGCCGCTTAAACACTTAATTGCTTGCCTGTGACCCTTGAGATCACTTTAGTTGAAGACCTTAAATTTTAAAGGCTAAAGCATCCTACAGTCTAGCGAGTCTTGCGCCGAGGGCTAGGGGCCCGGCATAGTGATCCACGAAGGCCTTCGCCATGGGACCGGCTGGACTCCTGGTACCCGCTCAGTGAGCCTCCATAGCTGCGAAAGCCTTGCGTCCAAATCTTTTGCCTGTCAGAACAGAAAGGCGCAGAACAGCAACAAACGAGACGTGGTAAGATGTGGCAAGGGGTATGGACTTGCTGGGACCAAAACGCCGAAGAAGCCTGATCTGCAGGACCTCCGGCAGTATGCACAGCACCCAGGCTTCGGGTGAACTGACGACGTGACTCCCCCTAGCAATGTCGCACTTCTTCTTGATGTGATTCGAATTCCTGTTTAGAGTCTGCCCTCAGGAGGCGGCGACGAACCCCGGCAGCCGCAGCTTCGGAACGCCATCGCCTCGCAGTCAGGGCAAGCACTGAGAGATTTGCCTTGCATTCTGGTGCGCGCAAGAGCTCGGCATTTTTCCTGAACTCAGCCCCACACGCCACTTCGTCCGCCTCGGCACCTGAGCGGCGAAAGCTCCAACTACCTTAAACAATGTCCTTTCCCTGGCAATGACAAGAGCCCTGGCTTCGGCTTTAATTCGGACACCAAATTCTCGCAGTAAGGGCACATACTTCCGCGTAGAAACACCCCTTGGAGAAGCCGGGAATCCAGATTTCGAGTTGGAGGTTTCGGGCTCTTGGGCTGTACATTATCAGCTCACTAGCAAGGCTTCGCTAGCTAGCTTAAGCGAGAGCGGGGCGAGGGCAGGAGAGAGAGAGAGAGAGGGAGAGAGAGAGCGAGGGAGGCAGAGAGAAATAGGCTCTTGGGTAGACAGCACTGCTTTGCAGTCACGGGACTGACACTCGCAGTGCTGTGTCTTGTGGACAATGAGTGTGGCCTACCACCGGGGGCCTAGCGCAGTTGGCTGTGCAGCTGCTCGCACCTCGTAGCTTGACATTTGGGATGAGCTGTGCTGCGTCCAGGCATGTCCAGGCCACCCATTGTGCTCATTACATTGCATTCTCAGCACTGGGTCTCTGGCTCAGCGGCACAGGCCTTCTCGCCTTCCTGTGCAGGCGCACGTCAGCATAGCCACCATGACGGCTTTACTCTAAGGCCATTCTAAGTGTAGAGGTGCCTGCTTGCACTAGTAGAAGACTCACCAGCACGAACCATGTGACAGGAGCCCTCGGACTTTTCTACCAGTCTACCAGAGAAGTTCAAAGCGATCCAGGTGCTTTAGAAGGACATCCTCGAGGACTTGCATCGTTTGCGGTGTTAGCCAACCTGTTTTTCTGGTGGCGGACCTTCACGCTCCCCCGGGCTTTCTCTTCTTTGAGGCTCTGGAAATTCCGGTGGGCCCAGCAAAGTTACCGCAGCGTACGCCAGGCCGACTCCAAGCCCACAGAGGAGGGCATCAAAGGCAAGCATGGAAGGGTCCAACACTGCACCACGAATCCCGGCCAAGTTTTTCAAGTATGAGAAGACTGCATCTGGTAAGGCTTTGCCTACAAGTAGTGCAGCAAGAAAAAGGAGGAGGTATCTGTAAGGTGCGTTGGTGTCCATCTCCTCCACGAGTCGTGCGCGCTCGTCCTCACTGAGCTCCCAATATCGCTCTTCGTCGGGCAGTGCTGGTGCTTTGCACCTTCGAGTCCTGGCATTCAGATTCCAACGTGTACCCACAGCAATGAGAATGGCCGCGGACACGGCCACGGGTGATGCTGTCGCCGAAGCGGAAATGCCCGCTTTGTTCTTCGTTCCGAGCTTCATCCTGGAGCTCGGGAATGGTCTGACGCCGAAAGGGGTCAGGAGAGTTGTCTTCGGCTCAGCATGGTGCCACGGGCCTGCTGCACCTATCGGTAGCATCTTCCAGAATGCCTACCTGCACACTGAGGTCGTGCTTAAGCCAAGATGAAGAACATCATGTCCAGCGCTCTAGACTGACTCACGCCCTAAGCCACCCTGATTGCACAAAACTCTAAAGTTCGATGATTACCATATTGATACTTTAGCTATCTCTTTAGCTTCCAGCGTAGGATGGGGTCGGTTTCGTTGCGTGCAGGCATGTCAGTCTCCCATGAACCTTGCCAAGTAGTACATGCAGTCTTGAGCATCACTAGCTCACCCCCGTGGATTCAGAAGCTCAACGGGCCCTTATCCCCAGGAGTCTACATGTTACTCTATACTATTCCACTACACAGTGTAGTATAGAGGTTGCCAGGTTGCTGTACCCGGATTACTATCATTCCATCTCCCCCCTATCCCAGGCCTCGCCTTGCGCCAAGCCTCGGCACCTTTGGCAAGCTCATGCCTGGCTTGTCAGGATACGTTATAATAATTATTGCAGAATGCAAGATAGCATAGTAGAATATAGCCGAATCTCATCTCCGAGCCTTTTCGAAGTTGCATAACAAAACAAACGGACATAATGGAGAGTAGGGCTCCTCTAACTCTTCTGCTCTCTGCAAAGATTCCAGTTTGGCTCCCTTAGAGTAGAAATCCTAAGCGCTTTTCTCTTGCAGGACGACTTTGGTGCGCTGAGCTCGAAATCTCAGCTGAGGTGCGTCTGCACTCCGAAGACCCCAAAACTCGCGTCCGAAGCCTATGCCGAAGATGCCGAAGCTTCCGGAACCAAGCCGTCCATTCGAGCCTCAGTGCAATGAGCTCTCCTTTGGCACGCTCCTTGCCCGGGCAAATCATTTTGTTATCGCAACGTCAGGGAAGTCTTGGGGTTCGTAGCATTGAGCGCCTGACGTTTGGGAAGCTCATGATATGGGCGGCTACGAGTACAGGTTGTCTCAGGCTACCTTCTCTCTTGCAGGCCGGAGCTTCTGCTGGGCACTCCTGAATCGAAGCTTCCCTCTCCAGCTTCTTTGCGAACTCGTCCTGCTGCGCCTTCCAGCAACCACGAATCCAAGCGCAAACACGCTGTGTGCGCGTGTGCGCGGCCATGAGCGCCCAAACTCTACACTTTCGGACACTGGTGAGTTTGCTGTGAGCAATCTGGGCCCCTTCCCGAAGCCCAAGAACTCGGAAGCCAAGTGGGGGGCCTGGCAAGCTGCATCCCGCTCCAGGATCTCTGTAGACATCGTCTCCCTGGGCTTTCGGGAGGGAGACGAAGCGATCTTTAACGAGGGTCTTGGAGCTTCCGCAAGACATCAACACTGTCCGGGATACGACGGCCGGCAGATACCACTGTGCAGTACTCGCAGCTGCGGCCAACTTGTTTTGCTTCGCAGGATCGCCATCGGAATCCTTGACATGACTGCATCCTGATCCGCTGGGAACGAAACCTTACGCGGGCATGCCCCAAAAGAGATTCATGATCTGTAAAGATGCTAAGGTGCTAGATAATGAATTTCTGGACCCGTGACTGTTGTCAGGAGCTTCTGTCCAAAGTCCAGCCCAGCTGGTGCAAAACTAAGCTAACGCACACCTGCGAACTTCCGTGTGGCAGCAGTTCCTCCTGTACTCAGCATTCCTCACTTATGGAAGAAGTGCCTTGGAAGATTCACAAGAAGGAGTTCGCATGGCACCGGTGCAGCACTCGCTTTTGGCGTCTTCACGGCACAGTTGACACTGCTCTCCGCCGCAGCCACGACACTTGCTGTCGAAGCAGCTGGTCACTGCCTCCTCTTTAGAGTCTATGCACATCTTTGGGGGATTGACGGAATGGTAGTGGTCATCGCAGCAGCCCGCAATCGTGTTTGCATCCTGGCGGCACAGCTGACACTGCTCACCACCACAGCCGTGGCATTTGGTCTCCACGCAACTCTTGACATCCTGTTCCCAGGCGCATTGCAAACCATCGGCACCATAGATCCCATCGCAGGGATCCTTGGATTCGGCCTTGCAAATGTCGATCCCTTCGGTTCCGGAGCAGCAAGAATTGAGAGTATTCGCATCTTCTCGGCAAAGCTGGCACTGCTCTCCTCCACATCCCCTACAGATGTTTTCCATGCAAGATGACACACAAGCAGAGACCGTGTTTTTGTCTTCCCGACAAAGCTGACACTGCTCACCACTGCAGCCACGACATTTGCCTTCGACGCAATCTTGCACCGTCTCTGCTGAAGCCAATGCCACCACCAAGCTGAGGACGAGAGCTCGAGCCATGGCCGGAAATCTGATCGAAGAGCGGCAGACAGGCGCCTAGAATCTCCTGCGAAAGCCTTCTTGAGCCGTGAAGTGAATGCAGGCATGGCAGCTGAACCCGAGATGCCGCCTTTGCGTGCCGACAGTGCGCTGAGGACCGAGGAAGAGGCAGCTCAGATCGCAAACGTGCAACTTTGGCAGCCTGACATCCAAGCATCAACTATGGCCGACCGATAGGCTTCGCACAACTCAGCAACTGCCTCTGTGCGAACTTCCTCCTCGCGGGCTTTCTTCCCCTGTCGCAAGATATTTGATCTGCCATGCCACTCGTTTCCCTTCAACTCTTACTGACTCTGCAATATTTTCATGCAATCCGCACAACATCCTCTGGCCCTGACCTTCAGCATGTCCCTCACTAACAAGAACTCTTTCTCAGCAAATGCCACCGGGCTGAGCATCGAATCATCCATCTCCAATCACGTGCTAGGTCGAAACCGCAAAGGACAGGCCAAACAATCATTTTCTTGCATGAGCGACCTCTGTCCGAAAACCTTGCTCGACATTCGAGTTCGCTCCATCTACAAAACCAACGGACACGACATGAAGAAGCACAGCTTTGCTCGTGGAGTGGACTGCGCCTCTCGCAAGGCAGCCAGGTCCCGGCTCAGCCGCACTGCCAGTGCCTGGGCCGCGGCTCAGGAGCCGAAAACACCAAGCGTCGTACTAGTGGCAAAAGAAACACAGTCGAAGACGGACGTCCAAAGAATCGCACAACACTGGTCCTTATACAGCTGCTGGTCCAGTCCTGCCTCCGACTTGCTCTGCTTCTCCTCTGCCAATCCCAGAGACACTGTGAGGCGACCTGCCTCAGCAGAAGCAAATCTGACCTTACATGTGTGTATATTGAGGTAGAATGAAACACTTCACGTGGCTCGCTGCACCGGAAATTGCAATCGACATCCGCAGCCTCCTGGCAAAGCTCGGCTACCTGCGGGCTTCGCGAGCTAGAACTCTGGAAATGAGATTCCAAATATCTGGCTCAGAGTCTTCAGGGCTGATCATGCCAAACCAAAGATGCGAACAAGTTGGACGTGCCTGACTTTGACACAATTTGGCAGAATATTTTCGAGAAAAAAACAAATATTCGTGGACTTGACTGTCAGCTTGAGTTCTTGATCTCAACTTCGCATCTGGCGCCTGACCGTGAGAACCTCTCTCTTCAACGGCAACTGGGAGCACCCCATGTGCGAACTACCGGTGCTAGCACACAACCTTACAAAGATGATCATCCGCACTCTGCTGCGCATTCTTTCCGTAGCATCCACCACCTGTGTCAGTAGTCTGCGACACTCGTGCATCGAGCACGATCCAGCAGATAAGGATCAGGTGCCAAAGAGGGGCTTCTAAGCTTCATGCTCTGCTGCTCCACTTTATTCTTCAACGTCTCCACTTCCTGTTCTTTTAATCCTCTGTGCTAAGACACGTCTGGCTACGTTCGATGTCAAGCTCACACCCGTGCCTGGCTTTGCATCTCAATGAAAAATGTGATGAAGCCACTGGTTTCCGTGTTAAAATCTCTGCGGCCAAACGCCGAGGGGTCTACAAACCGGACCTCGGCCCAGTTCAAGACAAACAGCAGGTGGACAGTCGTGAACGCAAGGAACGGCCAAGTACTTGGGGATCACCTATAATGTAATGGTATGTCTAAGTTCTTAAAGTTAGGTCATAGGCTGGTGGGTTAATTCCTGTGCTTCGTTTGTATTCATTAAACACAAATGCACAGAGTAAATGTCGTGCAACAGCTCGGAATCCGAAGTACACGAGTTGTCCGCCTGCAGCGAATTCGATCAATGCTATTCATTCAATATCATTCAATGCTCACCGAGTGCGCTATGGACTCTGAGCAGGGCAGGTTTAACCTGCAGAGCTTCACCTAACCTTTTGACAGAGTCTAGTGTCGCATCTTGATAGTCGCAGGAAGATTTCAAATCTCGGGGCAGTCTGTGTGATGTGCCAAGGCCGCAGTCCCGGAATCTTTACTAGACCCTGCTGACCGGAAGGACCGGAATTGGATGGAAGCGGAAAAGTGAACATGCACGAGATACTGTTTGTCACAGTCAGCATGCATGGGACCGATGCAGCACTGCACTGCAATGCAAACAAAAAAACAGTGCGTTCATTGCTCAGGGTTTTCAGATTCAGACATCATCGTCTCGAACCTTAAAGGTCGCATTTATCCACGAGGATGCCCCCTAGTCGCATAAGTCACAAGGAAAACTGTCCTTTCACATTCCTTGGTCACAACATCCACTGTCTGTGTCGCGTGGTTGTGAGTCAAAGGCTCAAAAGCTGAGCCTGCTGCTCTTTGAACTCGATCCTGGGCATGAACGCAACACGTCGTGCACCACGGCTCGGCTCGACATCCAGCACAACCAGGTCAGCCCATCCCGCACTGTCTGCCGCGCTCTCAAACCAAGTGGCTGCCCGTTCCCGTTCTCATCACACCATGTCATGATCCTCAGCCAAAACAGTTTCTCCTGTATGGTGGCGCATGCCAACTAGGTCGAATGCAGATGGCAAATGAAATAATCGTCACCACATCCTTCAACCCTTGCTACTGCCAGTCAGTTGGTGATGCTGCTACTGGTACTGGACGACGACAAATACTATCATATAATATGACGAGGATGAATAGGACGGCGACTACCACTACAACGACCACCGCCACCACCACCGCCGCCGCCACCGCGACTACTATTACCACTACTACGACGACGACTACTGTTGTTGTTGAACTTGAACGTGAACTCGAGCTCGAACTTGTAGTGGTAGTAGTAGTAGTAGTAGTAGTAGTCGTCGTCGCAGTAGTACTAGTAACTAGTAGTAGTAAGGAGGAGGAGGAGCTGGAGCTGGAGCAGGAGCAAAAACGGCAGCAGGAGTAGTAGCAGTACCAGTACAATAGCAGTAGTAGTAGTAGTAGTAGTAGTAGTAGTAGTTGAAGTAGTAGTAGTAGTAGTAGTAGTAGTAGTACTAGTATCACCACAGCAGCAGCCACGACGACGGCGACTACAACGACAACGACTACTGCTACCACTACCACTGACTACTTACTCAGTGCGTGCACGGAGTGCGCAACATGCATCTGTGTACTGTAGTTACCATGCTTCTGACCATTACTGTCATACTGTTCATCCTCTGCCACGGTGCTCATGCAGCTCTTCCATCGACAATGCTCCCAAAAGGTGGCCACTGGAAAGCTCCGACCTGGGCTTGCACTCAAGTTGAAACATGTCTGGGTTCTCCGGCACTCTCTGGGTGCTGGGTTGTGGCTAGGATGCCCTTGTATGGACTTGAAGATATTATGGAAAGTCAACGTCGTGCATGTTGGGCTCAGGGTCGAATAAGGTTAATCGCGCTGCCCCAGCGACACCAGACAATCCTACCTGAGGCAGCTGCAAAGAGATGTGGCCATCTCGGTCGCGATCGAAATAATTGAATGCAGCCTTCATGACCTTGCTGTTCATGTAGCAGCTCGGGTCCTTGTGCGGATTCTGCACTAGGGCACAGCAGAAGGAAGCCAACACCTCACTGAATGCATCTGGATTGCGGTGCAATCTTATGCGATGTAAAATTCTGGGTGCAATTAAGGTTCGACAGTTGCAGCCAAGAACTCTGTGTATCCAAATGGACGGCTGGGACCCAGCAGTTCAAAACGATCTGCAACAGCGTCTTTGACCTAACGAGCAATGAAAGTTAAGGTCTTGAAAGTTAAAACACATTACCCTTTTACCCGTACGGTCTTGGCTGCGAAGCTCTTGCCATGGAGCTTTTGCAGCAGATATGCTCGTGTCAGGCTTTTCGAGTCGCAGTGAAAACGGGCACAGCAGCTGCTTGATCGCTACATTGGTGCTGGCGTGTGAGTGCTCACTTCGGCCAGCCTGAAGCGATGACACTGGGTTGTCTCCCATTCCCATGGCCGCGCCACCTGCGCGTTTCCTTGGCACATGTGAATATTACCAACTGGAGTAGAGTCTCAAGCCAGCAGCTCCCTGCTGAAGCCGTGTCTCAGATCTTGTGCGGAGATCTTCCCGTCCCTGTCTGCATCCAGGCTAATGAAGAGCTCACCTTCGGTTGTGTCGACGAGTAAAGGGTGTGCGCACATCGCCAGCTAAACAAGACCGACTGTGGCAACTCTACATTGCATCTTTCTCATCTCCAAGCTGCGGCTGCTCGCAATCTGGTGGTCCGACCTGCAGCGAGATAAATCGCTATGCCTTTGCAAGGCAGTCGTCCGAAGGTGGTGCAGCCAAGCTTCAGCATGCTCACAGCAGTGCATATGACAGCCCGTTTGAACCTGAATGTTGTGGCACCGTCTCACTCCAAAACACGGGCAGCATCCGCCATGCAGCATGTTGATCACAAAGCAGCTTGAGATGCAGCAGAAGCAGGCAAAGCCAAGTCGCTTGTTGTAGGAGCGGAAGCGCTGCAAGTCCTCAGGCATCCATAAGTGACAGTGTCGCGTGCCCTAGTTCAAGGCCAAAGGTTTTCTGGCATCAACTCATCAGGTTCACCGCAATTTGTTGTGCAGGTCACAGCACACGTTTCCGGTCTGGATGCTCGCGTCTTTGTGCAATCCAGGAACCAATGTTCCCACAATGGCGTACAACACCAAAAGAATGAAAGCTCCGGCGCATGATTCGTGAACGCCTCATAACTACCGAAAGTAGAGTAAGTAGAGAGACTTAAATCACGGCATATTTATCTTTACCGATTCCCCAGCTCCTCGAGGAGGCTCACGTGGCTGCTTTGAGCAGCCTTGCCTTCAGCAAGCCAATCGTCTCGCAAGGCCTTCCTTGGTTAGGAAATTGAGTTGTCTTTGGGACTCTTACAGCCCAAGCCTCCCTAAACCCCTAAACCTTAAACTCCATGAGCCCTAAACCTCATGAAGCCGTCAACCCCTTTCCCTAGATCTTCCCTAAAGAAAGCCGAGCTGCCTTGCAGAGTATCGACTCGAAGGCCGCTTGCAAAGCAACATGCCTTAGGTTGGCGAAGTGGAAGCCAAAACCTATACCGTACTTACGCTAGAAATATCGTAAAGGTACACTAGACTCTAGAATTAGGGTATGCTTGTGAACGCTTTATTGTACTATGATTCCAATGCAAGTGTAGTAGAATTTGGCCCAACCCCGAAACTCTATTCTACTTCTCAAGGCCTTTTCGAGAACACGTTTTTTCTAGGTGTAGGTCAGATGATCGTTTGGGATGCCAAGGGCAAGTACTTCAACTCCAAATTGGAACGAGCGAAAGCTTGCACCATGGAGCATTCGACTAGCCCGAATGCTGACCTGTGCCAAGGAGCTGAGGAAAGCGACCGGCTGCCTGAGGCGGCTTTTCCAGAGGAAGGCTTTCAGTATTTCGACATGCTGCTTCCAATCACTGCGCAGATGGCGTGCCATGTCCCTACTCACATCCTGGATGACGTCATGCATCGTCATCAACATCCCTCTATGCTGCTTGGTGTCGAAGGGAGGCTATCCCACACAGGGTTCGTCATCTTGTACCTCACAATTGGATGCTCAAAGCGCACGGCTTGACGCTGTCGTACTGCTACGTCTGGCTACAGCATAAGCAGTGCCTTGACCTTTCTGCAAGCCCGGACCATGTTACCAACGTCTCACTTCTTGCAGCGCTACAGAGAAGGGAGCAGCTGGCCAAGCCCTGCCTGCCCTTCTTCACCTCCTCCTCGTTCTTAAACGGCAGCTCCCCTGAGGTCAAGTAATACCTTGGGACTGCGAATCAACTTCCCACAAGGACCGGGCCCTGGAGTCGGCCCTTCAGATTCGAGTAAGAACGAGTGCAAGGACCGGTAGCCCTTTTCTCTCACTCCACATCTAGAAGACATTTGCGGGAGCCGAAGCCATGTCGATCGCTGACCTGCGCCGAGAGGCATCAGAACGCCACAGCTCCATAGGTCGCACTTGTGGTTGT